CCCTAACCCTAACCCTAACCCTAACCCTAACCCTAACCCTAACCCTAACCCTATCCCTAACCCTAACCCTAACCCTAACCCTAAGCCTAACCCTAACCCTAACCCTAACCCTAACCCTAACCCTAACCCTAACCCTAACCCTAACCCTAACCCTAACCCTAACCCTAACCCTAACCCTAACCCTAACCCTAACCCTAACCCTAACCCTAACCCTAACCCTAACCCTAACCCTAACCCTAACCCTAACCCTAACCCTAACCCTAACCCTAACCCTAACCCTAACCCTAACCCTAACCCTAACCCTAACCCTAACCCTAACCCTAACCCTAACCCTAACCCTAACCCTAACCCTAACCCTAACCCTAACCCTAACCCTAACCCTAACCCTAACCCTAACCCTAACCCTAACCCTAACCCTAACCCTAACCCTAACCCTAACCCTAACCCTAACCCTAACCCTAACCCTAACCCTAACCCTAACCCTAACCCTAACCCTAACCCTAACCCTAACCCTAACCCTAACCCTAGAGCTAACCCTAGAGCTAACCCTAGAGGTGACCCTAGAGGTAACCCTAGAGGTAACCCTAGAGCTAACCCTAGAGCTAACCCTAGAGCTAACCCTAGAGCTAACCCTAGAGCTAACCCTAGAGCTGTGTCTTCGTAACCCTAAATAACCCTAACCCTAGATAACCAAAATCGACACTTACGCCAATTTCCCAATAAAATATCAATCCAGGCACACCCCTGGAAATCCAGGCACGTGGTCAATGTAATCCAGGCACTAGTAAAGCGATTCTAGGCACGTGGTAAACCTAATCCAGGCAATACCTATCAACCCTAGTTAACCCTAATTAACCCTAGTTAACCCTAACGATGACTAACAATACGTCCCTACAAAATCCAGGCATATCTAGGCTCATCCAGTAACGTACCATGTCTATCCTTAAAATATCTAGGCACTTTCTTTCAATTAAGGAATGTGGTTGGGTTAAGGGTTAGG